ACGCGCCGCTCGCCGCTCCCCGCTCGCCGCTTACCGCACGCCGCGCGCCTAGCGACCGTAGTCTGTAGGCGGTCGTATCTCAGCCGTGCGTTCGCATTCGGTAATCTTTAATAATTAATATCTCTTTAACCCTTGTGAAAATTGTAAAATGGTAGAGGACTTTTCGGTTCAGTTTGGTCTGCTCTACCGGCATACGGCCGCTGTGTCAAAATTTTTGGGACACCCTGTATATACAGGGTGTCCGGTAACTCACGGACCAATACTTGTGAGCGGATAGAGTACATTAAATAGGATAGGAAAGTTCTTTACCATTTTGCAATTCTCGCAATAATTATTTAAGTATTAATTTAAAAAAATTGCCGAATAAGCACGCGGCTAGACCGTAGGATGTAACTGTAGGCGTGTCAGCGGCGAGTCGCACGTCGTACGGCAACGAAATGTTTGGCCACGCGACGAGAGTCGCAGACGCATGAACAATAGCAAGCGGGCAGAAGCCTACAGTTACATTCTACAGTTACATCCTACGGTCTAGCCGCGCACTTATTCGGGAATCTTTTTTAATTAATACTTAAATAATTATTGCGAGAATTGTAAAATGGTAAAGAACTTTTCTGTTCTGTTTAATGTACTCTATCCGCTCACGAGTGTTGGTCCATTACCGGACACCCTGTATATACATATATATATTATATATATAAGTGAGATTTCTTTTAGATTAGATCTAATGCACTACCGTTTGATGCGCGCTGTTTTATAAAAAGGCAATTTTTTGTACCTTTTGTAATATTATTTGTAAATATTTTGTAATGCAATATAATTTTGTTTTATTGCAAAATAAATTAAATTACTTGGAAAAAGGCTGATCTTTTAGATTTTATGTTGTTTTATTTTGACACCATTTTCTCTATTACTATGGGCGGTATTCATAGTCCGTGCTTAAGACGATCTTGTATATAAGAACGGACTATGAATACCAGCCTATATTATGTTCTCTACTATCAAAACGCTTTCTTCACAATAAATTACAAGATAAAAAAAGTTAAATGAAATGGAATATCTTTAATAATTTTACGATAATTTTAAGATAAAGGGAAACATTTAATGTATTATGTCACCGCAAGTAAAGAAAAATATTTAATTTTCTTACAATAATAAAAAAAAGACGTAAAATATGTGTGTATTACCAAATTATCTTTTTTTCATTCTATTTTTCAAATTACCAGTTATCCGAATTACCACTTGTGGAGCCGTTGGCAGGACAGGTCCCAACAAAATGCAATGCGCAGAGAAATATAATAGAACTGATGTAGAATTGATTGTACCGTCGCCGATATCAGAACAGGGAGACATGCCGGTTTTTTATTTGAATGGAGTCCAACGGTGGACTGCGTCACGCGGTGAATACTACACGTTAGTGCACTTAATAAAAAATACAGATTTATAATATAATAAAACAGTTAGTTTGTTTAAAATTATATACTTGTAGTAAAAATATATAAATATAGAATTACTTAGTATTTATTGTTTTGATATATCCAACTAGTAAACTAGTTGTTTTCGAAAACAGTTTGATCGGCTTTGGTGCGAAAGGAGGAAAGGGCGCTACTGATCCGAGTAACTCCAGCTCCATGGGTGCCCTTGCTCAAGGTGTGATAGAATTACAGAAGGGCGATCAGCTGTATTTTATGGTGGGTCAAGCGGGAGCAGATGCACGTCCCAAAGTGAGTATATATTAAATGAGTATGAGTACGCATAATGGCATATATAATAAAGATGGAAAGAGGATGTTTTCCACATAGAAAAAAAAAAACATAAAAAACATGAAAAGTAAAACTTTTTTATGTGAAATTTCTTTTTGAAGAGAACTAAATTTGTACATGTTTGAACATCAATAACTTCTTTTCTCTGTTTTGAAATTGCATTTTAATAATACTATATTTCACAAATCAATAAATTTGTTTTAACATATAGAGATGATTTATCACGGAAATAATATTTTACAAGTAATTTTTTTGACAACTTAAAATTTTTTTTGTATAGAATTAAATTTCTTATTAAAAAAGTTAAATTTCTTATTCGTACTTTATATATAATAATAACATTATAAATATAATTTATATTAATATTAGCAATTTTATAAATGAATTGAAAAAAATGTATTTTTATATGTAACATCGGTTTCGTTTTATTTGTATCATCAGTTCCGTTCTATATTTGTTGAATTTATTATTATTATTATTATATGTATCCAATTTTTGGACTATTATTTATGGTGCTTACAATATGTTGACATTATCCATTGTCAAATAGAACATCGGATCAAAAATAGTCAATTCTACATCGGCTCCACCACATGGATCTATACCACCACATAACACTCATACCACATCAAAAGTGCGAGAAGTGAAAAACACGGAGTTTGAAAACGGCGGCGGGGGCGGTGGTGGTGCAACTACCATTTTCACAGTAAATAATATTTATTGTATCTCTAGTATATGTAATATAATCACTCTAGTATATGTAATATATTAAGTAAACAAGTGCATCGATATTTCTTATAATGGCTGCTATCATGTAGATGTTCTTCTCAGTACAATCGTAATAACATTTGCGCAATAAAAATCTTGCTTCAGTTTTTAATTAATTGTTCTTTACTATCATATACCATCACGCGTCCGTACGCGTTTTGATTGAATTAAATGATTACAGTTAAAAGCCAATGGAGAGCTGGTACCGATCTTAATTGCGGCGGGTGGCGGTGGTTTGGGATTGGGTCATTTTGCGGACAATGGGCTACAGCACGGCCGTGGCCCCATTCCCGCCGGTAGACTCTTACCTCCTTCATCTGAGGTTTCAAATAGCACAGGTAATTCAAAAAATATAAAGACGTTTTAAACCTATCGCATCACCTGTTATAATAACAGATTCCTGAGATTATTTCGAGACGAAAGTGGATTTTGAATTATATATATGCGAGCTAGGAAAACGCGATTTTTATTGGTTTGGTGTACATGTACTTACACATCGGGCGTTTAACCCGGCTTTCTTGGTTTTTCATTCTTTATTTCAACAAAGTGCAGCACTCCAATATTTTAAGAGATCTTTCAGCATGCCAAAATCCGTCCGAGTTGCGAGTCGAAACTTATATTTAATAAATACTTATATTTAATAACTTATATTTAATAAATATAGCTTGCATATATGTATATAATAAATATAGCTCGCATATGTATAATTCAAAATTCACTTCACTATCGGGCAACGTTGCCACGTGGCGGCGACTTCGGTACTACGATAGAGTCGCGCAAAATTTAAAACATTCAAAAAAAGGCCATTTCTGGTCGAAATAATAACTTTACGTCTATTTTGACGAAATTTTGGGGGTTCTAAGGGGTTTTCAAAATGGCTTTTCGAAACTGTTGGTGACATTTTTGAAAATTTTGAAAATTTTTTGGAACTCGATCAACTGCTGTTCTGTAGGTCAGATTTCGACGGCTCAGGGTGCGATCGACGCGGGAGGTCGAATAAACAAGGCATTTTACGTCGTTTTGGCTTATCTGATATTACCCACTATAATCCCTATAAGGTCCTATATAGGATTATTGCGCTTTTTGGTACATTTTAGGTCAATCTGATGCAAAAAAACCGATATCTGGTTAAAAAAAAAAATAATTTTTAATTTTTTGAAATTTTATTTTAGGTCGTAATTTTGAAACTTTGATTTGCGAAACTTTGATTTGAATAATTTGCATCGGGGAGAGCTGAAGATATTATTCGATCAAATTGCACTTTTACACACGTCATATGAATGCCAAAAGGCAACTTTTCCGCACTATTAGAATTGCGAACTCGAAAAATTGGTTTTTTTAGCCCATCCTATTGCGCGTAGCTAGACTGTAGCTGTGGGCTGTACATTTGAGGCGTGACAACAACGAGGATTGCATGGCAACGAAAAATAACGTGTAGCGAGAGCAGAAGTAATATGCGTTGTTATTTTTCGTTGCTATACGATTTCGTTGTTGTCACGCCTAGAGTATACAGCCTACGGTCTAGCTACGCGCAACGCGCGATTATTCGTCAATCCTTTTTAATTAATATCTCAATTATTATTGCGAAAATTGCAAAACGGTAAAGGACTTTTCTATTTAGTTTACCGCACTCTACCTGCACACGAACGTTGGCACGGACATTATGAAGCACCCTGTATATCTAAATTGCATATTTTAAAACACATTGTTAGATATTTAAATCAAGATTTTTGACATATTCTCCAAGCTGTAGAATTTTATTTTTTATTGGATCAATAGCACGATAACTATCTTACAACTATCGCCCAATCAGATTATCAAAAATTTGCACGTTCAGTGACATCGCAGGATGTCTGCAGACATCACTTTAATTATTGATATTGATATAATGTATATTATTGTATATAATGTATATTATTATTGAAATAATTTTATACAATTATCTTTTTTATACACGGTTAATAATTACGACAAATGTTAGAGTAATAATAGCTTTAAAATTTTTTGGAATATTAATGAATGGAATATTATAGAATGTTTAGAATATTATAGAACGCGATGCGCATGGAATTATGAAAGCTGTCACATAAAAATAAAGTGTCGAAGACGAATAAAGTTTTTTACATGGAAATGGTAAATATAAAAATCATTATGTTACGTGTTTGAATACGCAAATTTTTGACAGTCTGATTGCTCAACTTTAAGGGAGCATATACTAAAACTTTGTTATAGCTAATTACAGTCTTTGTTATAGTGTTTGTTATAGCCGATTTTTTAAATATAAATTTTTCACAAAATGGTAATACATTTAAAGTTTAAAGTACAATTTTTAACTAAAATTTTATATTTTTTTCCTGGATTACTAAAAATTTTGAATCGTAAAAAGAACTCCTATGACAAAGACTTGATATTTGTATGTAGAATAAATAAGCAAAATTTGAAGTAAATCGACCAAGTCATTTTTTTCACGTGCTATTTTTAGAAGATATTTTAGGTGCCGATATTGAAATCATAGTTTTGAGCAAAACGCATTTAAAGTTAAAAATAATCTATTACATACCGCTCAATCATTTCATTATCATCGTTGTAACTTGATTATTTTGTGAATTTAAATTTAATATTTTGTAAACTAATTACTGAGAAACATTGCAGATTTAAAATATGTAAAAAAGATTGATCCTTTTCAAGTTTTTAAATGTATAAATCCCTTAAACACTTCTCATTTAAAAACTATTGTAGTATATAAAATTATAAAGTTATATTCATGAGAAATGTAAATTTCCTAATATCTCTTCTAGGCGGCCCCGGTGCCAATTGGAATGGTTCGTGGACTAACGATTCCGATCGACAAAATATTGCGGGAATGCCGTTGATTCGTGGAGGTGTGGGAGGACTTGGTTGTGACTCTGGAAAGGAAGATTACGGTAATGGAGGCTTCGGCGGAGGTGGAGGTGGTTGCCATACAGGAGGCGGTGGAGGTGGTTACATTGGTAAATAACAATACAAATAAACTAATTAAAATAAAATAATACAAGTAAAATAACAAAAATAAAATAATAAAAGTGAAACTTAATTAAAATAAAATAAGAATTGTGTTAAATCATTGATTAAAGTAAATTTTGCTTATGTACAACATAATATCATAATAATTCTCAAAAATTTTATCAAGAGTAATCTTAATTTTTTAGGCGGTAAAACTGGACACACAGACTCTGGAAACGGCGAAGGTGGTTACTCATATATCAGCCACGAACTCACAAACATTTATTTCAAGCCTGCAGCTCATTCTGGTTTGGGTGAGATCCTCATCATACCCGCGGTCAGTGGTTGCGGTTGTGATTATCGTTGCATCGCTCTTGATCAATATATGAACAAAACTAAGTGTCTCTGTCCTCAGGGTTGGTTACTTAGCAACGATTCCAAATCCTGTATTAGTAAGTACAACCATCAATCATGTAATGCAGTGCTCAGAATTAGTTGAACTTTTCAGTCAATTTTTTGCAGTCGACGCCCACTTTCCTTTCCTCACCGTAACAGCTAGGAGGAGCGCTAATCTATTAATGGGCGGTATTCATAGTCCGATTTTATTCGAAGATTATCTTAAGTACTGTCTTAAGATACTAACATGATTTTTTGATTGGTTCATAGCATTTTACGATCGTACTTAAGACGATTTTGAATATAAGAACGGACTATGAATACCACCCAATAAGTGTAAATTTATTGTGATAGTAGTAGTAGTAGTAGAAATTTTATTGATCCCTTTGGGGGTTACAAATAATCAATCGGTAAATTTCCATATTAAGGTAGTCAGCTCCGATTTGGTTGAAAATTTACATAGAGCTTTCTTTTAGCCTACAATTAAGAGTTATAATATTTAAAAACATGGCAAACTATAGGAACCTCGCTTTGTTGGAAATTTCACGCGTAGTTGGCGGAGGACTTCGCCCTACGGGGCGAAGTCCTCCGCCGCGTGAAACAAATAACAAATCCTACTCAGGTTATACCTAACAAGGTAAACCTAACAAGGTTAACCAAGGTTCACAAAGTTGTAATGTTTTTAAGAGTTATGATATTTAAAAGTATGGGAAATTATCGTATTTAAAGAAATTCAAAGTGGCTGCTTCAAACGTCGTTTTGCGCCAAATTTACGTTTATAAACATTTGTCTTTCGTATGTTGCATACACTGTAAATATTTGTATCAAACACTTGTAAACACTTCACTGAAAGAGATTTCGTTAATATCATCAGTATTGTTGTACATATAACAATGTCTGGTTATACAGAATTCGTACGAGCGATAAACACAGAAGAAGCAGCTCTTGATTTTCTATTAGAAAAAGGTATTTTTCAGCAGGAAATAGAATGTCCTCGCTGTAAAGAACGAGGACAGTCTTCAATTTTGCAACTCTGCCGAAAAGATCAAAATTTTGTGTGCTATGTTCGATACACGGAGCGTAAAGAGCATCGCAAACGAATTAGCCGCCAGTGTTGTTTTAAGCGCAGTGTTCGTATCGGTACATGGTTTGAACTTTTTTATGGATGCAGTCTCCACGATGGAACTTCCATAAATCGGATCTACTCTTAGCAAATCAAACAATTACCGACTGGACGAACTTTTGCCGGGAAGTAAGATATTTTCCGTTTACAGATATTAAAAAATTGATACTCAGTATTTATTACCCATATCTAAAAAGTAAACGCATTTTTGATAAAAATAGAAACTTTTAAAATAATTTATAGTGATAAAACTCTTGCTTAGAATTGAATCTCGCATTGCATGGAAGGTTGTAAATCCATGTGGATATCGCTTCGCGTGGAAAGTGTATGCGTGGAAACAGTGTGTTCCGCCTCCCTGCGGGGGGCTCCACCATAAACAAAACTCACATAACCTAACATTATCTATTTTTGGGTTAATCTAAAATTAGGTTAATTCAAGGATAGGTAGTGTTAGGTTAGGTTAGTTTTTTTTATGGTGGAGCCCCCCGCAGGGGGGCGGAACACACTGCCTCCACGCATACACTTTCCACGCAAAACAAGGTTTCACATGAATTTACAACTTTCCATGCAAAGCGTATCTGTATTATTAAATAATTATCCAAAGTTGTTAAATGTTTTTGAAAAGTAAATAATTGTTAATTACTCCCAGATTTGCGTGTATTGGGTAGATGCAAACTCTACAAAAGTCAGTGGCCCAGAAAAGATTGTAGAGATTGACGAAGCTCTATTCGGCAAACGCAAATACAACCGCGGTCGTTTGCTTCAAGCAAAATGGGTCTTTGGTGGATATGAGCGTCAATCTCGGAAAGTATTTCTCATGCCTGTTGCAAATAGGTCTAAAGAGACTTTGCTGGAAGCAATTAATTCGTGAATCTTGCCCAGTACAACAATTATGTCGGATATGTGGCGCTCATATGATTGCCTTAAAAATGAAGGATTCCGTCATTTATCAGTGAATCACAAAATAAACTTTGTGCACCCTGATACTAGTAAATATAATATAATAAATTTATAAAATCTTTGCAAAAATAATAGATTAATTCTTTTTTAAATATTCTCAGAGGCACATACGCAAGGTATAGAACGCACTTGGAGAGAAATCCGACAACACACACCAAAGTATGGTACTCCGCCTACTATGCTTGTGTCAAATTTGTGTGTGTATCTTTTTCAACGTGCTCATCCAAAACGAGAACGAATCGGAGCATTTTTTGATGTTATTCGGGAATTCCAACAGAATACGGAAAACATTCCGTTTTCTGAGGGAGAATTTGATTTTGTTGATATGGTGGAAGATATAGCTGAAGATTAGTAAAATAAATTTTTATTTAAGAGCAATTTTATATATTTTTATTATAAAATTCCTTTCATAATTTTTTCAAGAACGGCACATAGTTTGCCATGTTTTTAAATATTATAACTCTTAATTGTAGGCTAAAAGAAAGCTCTATGTAAATAATTTAAATTTTCAATCAAATCGGAGCTGACTACCTTAATATAGAAATTTACCAATCAATCTTACATTTATTCACTTACATCTAACTTATCTCTATTCTCTTACATCTTAACTTATCTCTAACTTATTCCTAATATAATGTGACTGTGGGTGACGCCTTCCAACTTGACGCCTTTCCACACTCATATCCGCCTTATCATCAAATACACACACCGCAGCTAAGGTGACTTCCGCTTCCTTTTGCTTTTACTCTTTTCCATTTCTTTCAACTCGACCTTCTTTTTCTCCTCCCCCCTCCTCTCACTTACTTACCCACTTACTCCCATTTTCTCTTCCTTCCCCCTTCCCTTCCTGCCGTTCTTTTTCTATCTCCCTCTTCTTCCTCTACCAACACCAAACTTACTGCCCCTTGCTAACTCCCTTCTCCCTTTTTCCATTCTCTGCATTCCTCCCACGTATGCTCCCATGTTTCCCTCTCCCTCCTACATAGTCTACACACTTTTCTCTCTTCTTTCTCTCAATATCTACTTTCTCTCATCTCGTTCCTCAATCTAAACCTCGCCACTCTCCTCCATTTACACCCCACCCCTTTTTTTAAGTATCCTGGAATCCCTTCCCTCTTCACTTCCCTATTATACCCTATTCACCATCCAATAAACATTAGGACATTCTATGTACGTTCTATGTATATACATATATGTATATTGTATATTCTATGTATATACAAAGAATGTGAAAAGTATATAAAGCGCATATCCTATGTATGTGAAATAATTACCACATGTACATAGGATGTCCATAGTATATAGGTATATTCCAAAGATATGCAGTGTACATTTGTGGTATATATAATACATGGGGTATATTCCGAGGATGTGCAGTGCACGTTTGCAGTATGTATATAGGATATATTCCGAGGATGCTCAATACACATTCGTGGCATGTACATGAAGTACATTCTATGTATGTACATAGTATATGTATACAGTACGTTTTTTTTACATTTTGGATATTCTATGTATATACATAGGATATCGAATGTTTACTGGGTAAAATAAACAATTTTCATTCATTCGGATATTTATCTACTCAATTTTTGAACAATCAGTTTATCTAAATTCCCTGTGTTGGGATTCAAATATTAAACTGATAGAAAAAGTTATTACATCTTTAAATTGAAGACTTCAATATTATTACTCGCCTTTTGCAAGTTTTATATAGTTTTCATGATTAAAACTTAAATACGAGATAGATAGCGTATAATGCGTCACATAGCGGCAAGCGAACGAACTAATGACTGATTCTATGTATATCCATACGATATCTTATGTGTATCTATAAATGTATCTATCAGCGTATATCATATGTATGTACGTTACATGTATTATATACACATGGAATGTAAACGAGGTATATTCTATGTATGTACAGGCAGCGATCTCGTTTAAATGTACATTCTATGTATATTCATAAATGTACCTACATCAGCATATATCGTATATATGTATGTTACATGCAGGGTTGGGAAGTAACGCGTTACTTGTAACGCCGTTACCGTTACAATTACTTTTTCGGTAACTGTAACGGTAACGGCGTTACAAATTTTTTTGAAACTTTGTTACATTTTTCGGTAACAAGTAACGAATTTAACAGTTATTTTTATTGTTACATTTTTCAAATTTACTCTATAAATCTACGAATTTATAGAAAAACTAACAATAAAAAACTTTTTAATTTATATTTACAGCATCTAAAAATTTTTAAAAAAGCTGGTTTACAACTTATTAAAAATTTTTCTTATTTAAAATATCTTATCAAAATTATTACTTTTATTATATATTATTAAAATTATTACACTTTATATTAATAGCGATATCATTATTAAAATTATATTTTTGTTACTTTAATGAAAAATAATGTTTAAAAATTTTTAATGTTTACTGTAAATTTGTAGTGTTTAATTTAATCTTGTATTAGAAAAATTGTGTATAAAATTTGTATTATATATAAAAAAAGTAACGGAAATTGTAACTATTCGTTACTTTTTGAGTAACGGCAACGGTAACGAGTTTCTTTTTAAAATTGGTAACGAGTAACGATAACGAGTTACTGTTTAGAAAAAAGAACGGTAACGGTAACGAGTTACTTTTATAAAGTAACTTTTCCAACCTTGGTTACATGTATATACATGGAATGTACACGAGGTATATTCTATGTATATACAGGCAGCGATCTCGTTCGAATATACATTGTATGTATATCCGTACGATATCCTATGTATATCCATAAATGTATTTACTTCAGCGTATATCGTATGTACGTATCGTATATACGTTTGATGTATATACATGAAATGTACACGAGGTATATTCTATGTATATACAGGCAGCGATCTCGTTCGAATATACATTCTATGTATATCTATAAGATATTTTATGTATATCCACAAATGTATCTGCATCAGCGTATATCATATG